TCATGTTTTGTGTCCAAGGCTAACTGTTACTGGATATCTTTCTAATGAGTACACAGACAGTAAATAAACCGGACAGACGTTCTATTCAAAGCTAGAAAAAAAAGTTAAGTTGGAATCCACTCTAAAGAATATGTTAACTTAAAAAAAATTTAGTCGGATATTTCAGACCTCTTTCTGAAAATGCTTGTTGCTTGGCTATATCTGATTTAAACATTTTTGATTCACTTACCTGAAGATGCAAACAGTGAGGTCAGAACAACCTATTTGCATAATTCTTGATCAATGACTCAGAAACTATTGAAGTTGCCTTTTCATTTGCAGTATTCGTAAGCCTTGTAAATAATATAAAGATGTGTTCACTGCATCATCATCTAGTCATTTGCAATAATCCTGTTTTGTAATTTCCTTATACTGTATATGTTTGGGTATTCAAAAGAAAAATAACTTCACCTTAGTAGCAGTTGTAGTCTGGACTTGTTCATTAATATTGAAGACGTTTCATTCTGGCTTCCTCAGAGTGTTGGTAACATACTCCAACATTTACTGTATAGCCACAATGGTAACTCAGTCATCACCATGATATCATGAAATATATGGCGAAAAGTTGCAAAAACTCCCTGTTCTATTTAACATAAAACAATCACCAATGGGCCATAAAGGGTGGAGTAGGTCTTTCTGAGTTACACTGGTTCTGGTTTGTCATAGATTGCCTCTTGAGAACAAGATGTCTCCCTTTTCAAAATGTGCACCTCACTGTACTTAAAAGAATGTCTTTCACCTTAAAGAGACCTGTCACCAACTTAAAACATGAAGGTAAGTGCACAAAAAAACAAACAAAAAAAATAACAAATTTAACAAATTAACAAATATAAACAAAAAAAAACACAGGTTAAAAAACACAGTCCTTTAATAAAAACTAGTCCCACAATGTACTGTACATCAACCATTAATCACATTGTCCAGTGATATAGATACACAGCAATCACGATGTTCGCACGTTTCCCCCTTTCCTGGCCGGCCAGGCTTCATGATTTGATTGATGGTTTTGCATGGATTTTTAAGGGGACCTCACTTTTATTTATTTTTTTGTGTGCAGTCCCCTCAGAATCATTACCAGACCCTGGTGTACCTCACACATTTCATTTTTTTCTTTGTTTTTGTGCATGTGGGACCCCCTAGAATCCATTTCAGACTCAGAGGGGTCTGGTATGCATTTTAGGGGGACTATACACATTGTTTTTCATTCTTGCTGTAGGATGTGATACAGCAAAAGTGACATTTGCAAAGGAAAAAATGATACAGTTTAAACTGCTGGCAAATGACATTTCATTGCAAGTTAAAAAAATTTAAAAAAGCACAGACCCTTCAACAGGTACAGCCCATCTGTACATCAAACAAATGCATCCCTTCACAGTAGGATTAGGACACCCCAGGCATGTTATTTAAAGGCAAATTTCTCTTTATTATTTTTACACAAATTTAACAGAACAATGCATGAGAAATAAAAATAAAATGTACAAGTATGTGAACAGAAAAACATCACAGGTATGGCTATGATCCATGTGGATGCATGAAAATGATGCTATACAAGAGCAAGAGGGAAGGATCAATAACTCATATTACGGAGATATAAAAAAACATAGTTTCAGGGGGGTATCCCCAGGTGAGATGTATGGAACAAAATGAGAGAACTCTGTATAACCAAGAGTGTAAACCCAAGCTGAGAAAAAGAAGGGAAAAAAAACATATAAAAAAAGAAGCCAGCGGTAAGGATTGTGAAGGAGGATAAGAGAGAGAAAAGAGGGGGTTGGGAGATGGAAACAGCAAAAAGAAGAATCAAGGTGGTTCCCCACCTGTATCCCACCGGAGCGACCCCTCCGCCCACATCCTGGCATGGACCACAGGGCCCAACCGGCGGACAAGTCAAAATGAAAATGAATCGGGGGAGCAAGGCTCAACTCCACTAGGGCACAACAGGGAAACACATATCTTGAAGAGTAGAGGAGGAGAAATGTAGCCAGACCGACCACAATAACTTATGTTTATCATAGGTATCATTGGCAAATGCCAGAATTTCCTCCATATGCATGGTATCATTAATCACAGAAACCCACATCGGAAGGGATGTGGCCTGTTTCCAAAAGAGGGGTATCAATTGGCCGCAGACAGAAAGAAACGCAACAGACTTTTCTTTAGAGCTGCCAGTGAGCCCGGTAATATAGAGAGGAGAGCAATTATCCGGTGAAGGGGCCAATTTTGTGCAGAGACAGGGGGTCCTTGTACCATCGAGAAAGAAGCTTAAAGTTATTTTCTTGTGAATAGCAAGAAATAGATGATTTATGAGTGAAGTGGAATGATGTGGACCAATCCTCAGCCGATATGTCTTTACCTAGGTCTCAAGCCCAGGCCTTGGTGTAGGGAGGGAGTTCAGAATGAAGAGCATTGTGTAGCACTTTATAGAGGGAAGCTAGGATGTGTCTTGGTGGTTCAGAGAGGGAGCACAGCCGTTCAATCTCAGAAAGTGGACGATGAGTGTTGGAGGAAGAGTGTAAGTGCTTGCAAAATGAGGACAGATGTAAAGTGGTCAACCAATCCCTAGGCTCACCCTGTAGGAGTGGAAGACCCAATTGAGGGCAGATAAAGTATTGAGCTAAGGGCCAGGAGGAGCCTGTAAAGGGTCCAATAGTAGAAGAGCCCCACACCTGAGGAAGAGCGGGGTTATCAAATAGGGGTGATAAAGGAGAGGGATCAGAGGATAAAAATGATGCCCTGTTTATACCAGAATCGCAATACAGCTAAAGTCAATGGGGACAAGCTGAGAAAAAGCCGATAGTCCTGGTCATACCCCCAAGGTAATGCCCGAAGATCAACCTGAGAAAGATCTTGTTCAATCATACAAGAGGCTTTACGGAAGGGTCTGGGAAACCAATCAAGAATCCGGGCTCTGTAATATAGCTCAAAGTCCGGTAAACCCACATTCCGCCACCGAGTTTCAAATAAGTAAGTAACCTGTGTTTTAACCTTGAGAACCCACTGTGCCAAATAAATCTAATCGAAAGGGAGCGTAGAGACAGGAAGAAACTCCTAGGGACAGTGATCAGTACAGTCTGAAAAATGTATAGTAACTTAGGTAATGTACCCGTCTTGTGGGTGTTGATGCAGCCGAACCAGGGCAGGGCTGAAGCCCCATAAAGCCAGATCTTTTCAGATATGTGAAAGTAAGGGTAAATAATTAAGGGAATATAGAGCATTAAGATTGGCTGAAATCATGACCCATAGGTACGTAATAGGCTTTGGTCGCCATTGAAAGGAGAAATTAGAGCGTAGGTTCACCAGCACATGGGCAGGTAAAGAAATATTTAGGGCTACCATTTTAAAAAAAAACTTAAGTTTAAAGTTACTGAAGAAACCAAATCTAAAAAATCGTGGAAAAGATTGGGGAGGGAAATAAGTGGCTGTTGAACATAAACTAGAAGGTCGCCTGCATATAAGGATAATTTGTGATGTGCGGAGGGAGTGTGGATGCCCAAGATTGAGTAATTAGCTCGTATGGTTCTCGCAAGATGTTCCATTACTAAAACAAAGAGAAGAGGCAAGAGGGGATAACCTTGTATAGTCCCATTCGATATGGGGAAGGGCAAAGAAACCGTACCATTCACCAGGACAGACACCGAAGGAAGAGAGAGTAGATGGGAGTAGATGGGACATAATCTGAGTGAGAAACCGCAAACCCAAACCTATCTGTACCAGGGTAAGAAGGAGAAAACGCCAATCAACCCGATGGAATGCCTTCTCGGTTTCAAATTAGAGTAGGCAAGTCTTTAAGCCGTGTTGCTTGATATAAGAGATAAAATGGATCATTTTAGAAGTATTATCCCTAGCTTCGCGACCAGGAACAAAGCCAACCTGATCGTGGTGGATCAAGGTTGGTAGAAAAGGGGAAAGGCGGTTCGCTAGAGGTTTAGCAAAAAGCTTAGCACTCAGATTAAGTAGAGAAATTATGTGATAGCTACCACAAAGAGAAGGGTCTTTACCTGGCTTAGGGATAACCAAAATAGTGGCGGACAAAAAAGCTGAAAAAGGCACACATCCAGATCGTCGATAACATTAAAAGCTTGGGCCAGAAGCGGGGCCAGTTAGGCGGCAAATGTTTTGTAAAATGCTGGGTGAATCCATGTGGACCCGGGCACTTACCAGTTTTCAGGGCCTTAATTGCCCCAAGAACTACCATAATCGAGAAGGGCTGCTCTAGATCCAATGCAGCTTGGACATCTAGAACAGGTAACACCGTCTCCGCAATACACTGGGACATAACCGGCAGAGAGGAAATGGGAGGAGCATCAGGATTCGCCGAGGAGACATTATAAAGTTGATAATAATAACGCTCAAACGCAGAAGATATTTCCTTATTGTGGTAGAGTTTAGTATTGTCAGGCACCTTGATGTGCTTGATTGGATGACAGGACGGACGACGGTGGAGTACACGAGCCAGGTGTTGGCCACATTTATTAGCTAAGGAGTAATGAGTGTTCATGCTTTGTCTCATGCAACAAGGGAGGAAGAATATAAAAGTTGGAGTAAGTCTCTACCAGGGTTAGATAGGTCCATCACGAGCACCGGGTCCAACATACGTTTGTGGGACAATTCTAGACGTGCAATGAGCGAAAATAATCGACACATCTTCATCGTACAAGCTTTTTTCAAGCTAGAGCAGTGTTTAATAAGAACCCCTCTAAGAATACATTTGAGGGTCTCCCATTGAGTGAGAGGGCTGGTAGTGACCAATGTGTGGTTAAGAATAAAGTGCTGGATAGTCATCGCGACCTCCCCAATACATAAAGAATCTTTGAGTAGGGTATCGTTCAAGCGCCATGAAAAGCAACACAGAGAAGATGGTCAGTCCTGAATCATAAGATGGATTGGGGCGTGGTCTGACCATAAGAAATAAGAGAGGATGAAGTCACACAATCTAGAAAAGACTGTGAAACAAAGAAATAGTCTATACCAAGGCTTGAAATTTCCACTCGCCTTCTCACCAATGGCGAGTGGAAATTATGGTGGGGGCGAGTGTGTCCCCCAGGGCTGTCTTGCTGAGCAGGCTCGGAGCTCAGGCCAGATCTGTTATTGGCACTGGGAGCCTTCAGACTGCTCAATAGCTGCAGTGAAAGCAAAGTAAGGAGTGTGTGCTGTGCTCTCTGCCTCTCCCTAGAGTGCAGTACCCGGATCTGTGAGTGAACAACGAAGTACTGCAACTTTTTATGGGGGGTGTGTGTGTTTGTTTGTGTGTGTGTGTCTGTGTATGCATGTACAATTGTACATGTGTCTGTGTGTATGTACATGTGTGTATCTGTACATGTGTCTGTGTGTATGTACATGTATGTGTGTGTACATGTGTCTGTGTACATGTGTCTCTGTGTGTGTGTGTGTGTGTGTGTGTGTGTGTGTGTGTGTGTGTATGTACATGTGTGTGTGCGTTTGCATTTGTGTGTATGTTGGTTCATGTGTCTGTGTGTACGTGTCTGTGTTTGTATGTAAATGTGTCTGTGTGTATGTACATGTGTCTGTGCGTGTGTATTTCTGTGTACGTACATGTATCTGTGTGTATGCATGTTTGTACGTGCCTGTGTGTATACATGTGTCTGTATGTGTGTTTGTATGTACATGTGTCTCTGTGCATGTGTGTACATGTTTCTGTGTGTGAGTATGTACATGTCTGTGTGTGTGTACAGGGGTCTCTGTGTGTGTTTGTTGGTGGCAAGTAACTCTAAGGCCTGGCTAGTAGCTCAGGATGTGTAATTTTAAGCCCTGGTATACGACTGTATGTCGCATGAGCTGCAGAATAATAACTATAGTCTCGCTCCGAAGGATGTTGGATGCACCAAACCTCCACTAAATATAATTCATGCAAACGTGACTTAATTTGAGCTAAGACCGATAAGGAGAGAGATTTACCCACGGAAGTCCAGGTCTGGAGAGAGAGCTATGTTGAAGTCTCCTCCGACAATGAAACAGGGACCCCCAAAGTGGACAGCCTAGAGAGAACCGCCGCGAGAAATGAAGCCTGATCTTGATTGGGAGCGTAAATGTTCGCCACTGTAAAAACAAAATCTTGGTATTTAAATTTTGAGGAAGAGGTAGCGACCAGTTGGATCAACTAGAGAGTCCAAGACCTCCGGGCCGAAGGTATGATGAAAGGCCACCGACACCCCCCTAGACCTGGCCTGTGGATTAGTACTATGATACCACTGAGTATAGTAACGATTGTGGAGGACTGGGATACCATCAGAGTGTAAATGAGTCTCCTGGAGGAGCAAGATCTGCAATCCATGTTTATGGAAATGGTAGAGCATCTGGCTCCGCTTCTCCAGAGTGTTAAAACCCCTGCAATTAATAGAGGAAAATTTAACTGGAGTCATATTTGTCCATGGTAGAGCAAATAGGAAAATAATGTGTCACAGATAGTGCTCCGCCAAGCCGCCCCCATCCCCCGAGGGAAAAAGAAAAAAAAATCAATAAGAGGGAAGAAAAGAAGGGGATTAAATAAACAACTATCGAGTAAAGGATAAAAAGCCAAGAAAGGAAGAGCAGAAAAAGTTGAAAAGTGAGAAGGAGAAACTAATTGACAGGCGAGCTGTCTAAATAGCATATAGTGTGATACTACGCAGTACACTGAAGGCCTAGGTGGGGAACATCAGAGGCACATGTATTCGATCCTGACCCAGGCTTGCCTCAGGCAAATGATAACTTGAGGAAGGTCACCCTCAGATGACCACCCCTACAAAACGTATTCAATAAACCCTCAAACAGGCATGAAAAAACAAGCCCCCGACAAACAAACATAGCCCGGCAATGACAGGGTGTGAATGAAACAAATAGCGGAAGGGCCCAAAGCCCCCGAGAGCAGGGCAAAAGACGTCCCCGCTTGTCACAGCAAATGGCGGTAGAGGAACCTGGGGATTAGCTTCAGGCCACAATCCCAGAGCCCAAAAGACAACAGGCACAAATATAAGTCACAGATCCAACAGGAGTAACCAACAGAATGTGTAAAAACTGTAGGAAGAGAGAGAAAGGGAGAAACCTCCCAATTTACGCAGATAGGGGATCATCCCTCTGGGTTCTTTTGGGAGGAGGATTTGTAATGTTTCTTCTTCTTTCGATCGGACCACTGCCAGGAAGAGGGAAATGGAAGGCCAGGGGTCAGGAGTTGGAAGGGCCATTCCGGGAGGGACACCTGAGGTAGCTCGAACACACTGAGAAATGTAGGCAAGTCCCCAAAGGTGCAGAATTGAACAGATTTACCGTTCTGTGAGGCGTTAAGTTGAAACGGGAACCGCCACTGATAGCGGATATGCCTCTCCTGCAACATCTGAGTGAGAGGCTCAGTGCCCTGTGCATAGCCAGAGTCTGGCAGGAAAGGTCATGGAGGAGCATCTGGTCTCTTGTGTGCTGCCCGCACGCATATTGGCATCCTTGACCTTAAAGTAGTGGACCCTGCACAGGGTATCACAGACAAAAGATGGATCAGGGTTCCTGGGGCCCATCGTGCGATGTATGCGGTCCATCTCAATATAGTATAATGTCTTTAGGTTGCTGTAGTAGTTGATTGAAGATGGTGGTAACCACTGCGCTAAATCTTTAGATGCAATGGATTTTGGTATGCCACTGATCCGAATATTGTTACAGCGGTTCCTGTTCTCAATGTTATCTTGTTGGTACATGAGCTGTTGTATTAAAACCGTATGGGAGTTAAGGGTCTCTTTGTGGGATTGTAAAGTGTTACACAGACCATCAGCGGTATTTTCAATCTCTTCCATATGCACACAAATGTCTTGTTTAAGATCAGAAATTTGTTGTTTGTATGTGCTTTCAATATGTTTCACATAAAGCTCAAATCCGCCTTTGTAGGAAGAGATTTAATGTAAGTGTGCAGGGATCGCATGTGGGACTGCAGATCCCAGCCATCCTCAGAGCAGAGAGATGCTGGGGAAGGGCTGCAAGATCCCTGTGGTTGTAGAACAGGATCCCCAGGAGGAGAGAGAGACAGAGAGCCCCAAGGGCTTATCTGCCCGTCTTCATGGAGCCCTGTATCCACAGGGGACGAGGAGGGAAGAAGTGAAGGCGCCATCTTGGAGGCCAGGGTGCCCGAGGCCTTGGCCAAGGATCGGGTCAGGGACCGGCAAATGTCACCGCCGGACCGCCCCCCCCGTTGCTCTCCGGGGGTCCAGTGTTGATTTTTGCCCATGGGGTGGGCAGAGGAGAGCCCGCAGGGAGAGAGGGAGCCTGCAGTGGAGGTCTGGGCCGCGAGCTGTGCAGAAGTGCTGCTTAGCCCTCCATGTGTCAAGCCACACACCCCCCATCAAGCCACGCCCCCAGGCATGTTATTTAAAGGAATTTGGAATTTGAATGTTTCACTTTACAATTCCTTGCCTATTAGCCCAGAAAATGGGGGTTTTTAATTTGACAGATTCAGCTCCTATTGCTTTTAATAGGGTTTGAGTTCAACATTGAAACTTGAAGTTTGTGGAACAACATTTTGACCTAACCCAGGGCACTGTGCTTATCCCTACCAGAGATCTATTACCACAAATTATACAAACGTAACAGGCATAAAGCACAAATTTTGAATGTGATAGACATACAGTATATAAGCAGAATAAAAGAAAATGAGGACTGATAATACACTGGTGAATGATGATATTAATTGCAATAGTCAAGAAATGTTATGTCCCCTTGTGTGATGAGTAGTATTGGGTAGTAAGTAGCAAACCCAACAAAAAGAGGGGTTCCCTTTTAATGCTGAACCCAAAATGAAGGGAGATGTTTTTACACAATGGAGAGGTGTTATTAAAGTCAAAAAGGAAAAGCATATGGTGTCAAAAATGCATTTTTATTGAATACTGTAGAACAAGTTATGTAGGGTATGACTCTAAGGGGTTTGCTATCAAGAAAATCACAAACAGCAGGAGACAGATTACACAATATAGTAGATTGGTATTTATAGAATAATCTCTAAAAAAGAATGAGGATGTCTTCTGGCAGGACAATAGAATTATTATAAGGTTATAATCATAAACTAGGCAAATCACTCTTGCCAGGGAACCTCCCCTGTGAGGTACATAAAATACTGCACCTCTTTCTCCCTAATGGTACAGGCACTAATTTTTGCTGAAAAAAGATACTTTACTTATACAGGGGCATTCAAGTAAAAGTGGGACTTTTGAGTTTATATAATAAAAGAATAAATTTCAAGGAGTGGAAACTGCATTTATTTTTTGGCATACTCCCATGCTACATTTATACACTTATCCCAGCATTTAAATAATGCCTGGAAAGCTTCAACATAGAAAGACTTGTCAGTACACCTGAACCATCCTAGGACATTCATGAATAATTTTGTTCACCGTTCCCACAGAAAAAATTGTCTCTTATGCAATTTCTTGACAGGTTATGCATTGATTATTCAGGATCAGGCATTCCTGAATGTTCACAGGAATGTCTGCTGTTGGCTTGGAACCCCCACGGCCAGGATCATCACTGATGGACATACTGCCATCTTTGAAACATCATTCAAATGTCTTACTGCGGCTGAACATCGCATCACTGAACTGTGCTTGAAGTCTTCTGCAGAGATTAATGAGTTTTATGCCTTCTCTCAAAAGAAACTTCATCACCATATGCTGTTCCATGCACGCACTAACACTGTTGTTTGCCATCTTGATTAATGGTCTCTGGACTGGCCCGCGACATTTGCGTTGCCTATCAATATTAGGACACACTTGCCACTTACTTCTGCATGTAGTTCCACCATGCTAGCATCCCGTTTTATACCTGTACAATTAAAAGTCCTGGTGAAAGTCTTATTTCCTTTCCACCATGTTGAGGAGCATTGCTGGAAGTTGCTTCTAGGACTCCCTCCTGCCTCTGCATTCTTCTTGCTGTTGTTTGTCTCAGGAAAGTGTTCAGAGGCAAGACAAGCTCCAGCTATGAATCAACCATCTTCATAACTGTTGTCAGATTGGCCTTAGAAGGAAAGAAAGGGGAATATTGAAGCTCATATCTATGGTTAAAAAAGACTTAGAAACATTGGACAAAGTACCATATGTACTTTTTTTGCAGATGGGGCAGAACTATAAAATAACGGTTATAATGAGGTCTGTTATGATTTTGCTGAGGATAAACAGATGTTATGGAAAAATAACCTAAGTCAAAAGCTGTTCTTGGCATGAGCAATATGTTTCCTTTCTTTTCTCACATCTCATTTACATGAGCAATGACTGACATTCCTTTTTGTAAAATCCATGTGGACAGTGGTATATATGTACAATAAAAAGAAAAGCTGTTGTCAATAATTTTATTGCAAACTTGTTAAGGCATGGTTTTTGAGTTTTAACTTGGTAAACAAACATGCTAACAATACTTATTTTAGCTACACTTGAGAGGAGCATATTTCTTTGGATAATTAAGTCATCATTCTTGCTGCTGACATGAGGCTGGCATGACAGCAAGACTCATTCTACCAGGTAAACTGAGGACATAGAGTGAATGACAATCATATAT